TATCTAATGCATCAGAAACGAACGAAATTTAATGCCTTTCTACTGTTTTATACTATTTTAATTTCGAATTAATTAAATGTTTTATTAATGCTCGATACATAAACTATTTACCGTTTACATATACACGTAAGTTTATTGTGTAGACGTCTGCCATATAGAGCTCCATCCATTCCGTTTAAATGAATTACGCTTAGGGCATGTCATCCAAGTTAATTTGCTTTGTATGTGAACTGCCAAAATTCCTCTTCATTAGCGAAGGAAAGCCTTCCGGCTGAATCAGTGACATATTATATGATGGGATAATGTACCTGCTTAAATCAGTTCAGTCTTAATTAAACTTCGCTCTATTTACAATTAATATCAAGCGCTCGGAAACTCATCTGTTCCGAAACGGATTTCTGGAATTAATAATGCATATTAATAATAATATATAATTTTGAGGAATTTTATTCGCATACACGCATACGCGTCTGGTATGTAAGAGGAAATGAGAGTGTAAAGAATATTCAAATGAGCGAATTGATCCTGATTCAGTCAGTGCCAACGCAGTGTTTAAGTGATAAAATCAACATGATCCAATTTGGAAACGCGATTCAATCGGAGAATGTTAATTGGCAAATGAGAGTAACGTATATCCGTATACAGAGAGAGAGAAGCGGTTGAATGTTAAATAAGTCTGGAAGTCATCTTGCCGAGTGGCGTTTAGCAATTATATCGCCTCTGCATAGGTACACACTAGTTTAATTAAATCGGCAATTGTAATTCGCCAGCCGGAATTATCTCATATTGAGATCGCGCTTCCACTCAGATACTCACTCTACGGTTTATCAATTTGCGTCTCGATGAGCTAAATTGTAACTCGGTAAATGCCAACAATCATCGGCGTCCAAATGCGATTTACTTTACAATTATTTATATGTTTAATTACAGTACTATCTTCTTCCGAAAATTAATTAATAAGTAAAGGTGGCGAGTAGATAAAGTTCGATAATGTCATCGCTTGTATATGTATAGGGCCATTTTAGAAAAGGTTATCTATTTTATATAGATTATGTTATTGTTAATAAAAAAGTTCATGGAAAAGTGGAGGTTATCTGATTTTAATTTACAATATCTTAAAATGTTTATCTATTTTAAATATTCTGATGAGTTTATTTTATTGTCAACAAAAAACTTCATGGAAAAGTGAAGAACATCGAATTTTAGATGATATTTTGAATTTTTTTAGAACACTTGTTTCAAAAAAAAATTATTGTCAACCATATTATTACTGAAATTTGATCCTATATACACTATTTAATTTCATAAAAAATATTGACCAAATAAAATGAAAAATTTGCAAATAAAGTTGGAAAATATCATGACTCTACTTTTACATATATATTTTAATTATTCTAATTACTATTTTATTGTCAATTAAAGAAGTTAGCGAAAAAATAAAATCTACCAAATTTAAGATCAAAATTTTGAACGCTTGTTTTACATATTAATGTAGACATTTATTCATATTTCTACTAATTAAATAAATAAAAAAATATTGAACGAATAAAAAGAAAAATCTGCAAGTACGTCTATGCGTAATGGCGTTAACACTCTCAAGTCAACCGTTCTTGATAAATTTAGGTAGGTGTATTCAGATTTTGCAGAATTGTGATTTTAACCGTAATCCCGATATCCCGTAATTAAAAACAATTTATGGGCTCGCTTTGATTTTCCGTACCTATAATTCGTAAATAATTTATTATCGTCTTCTGCGTTGAAATGGTGAGCACCTCCTCGACCGGAAAGGAGGCATTATCACGTAAAAATTGTAGGTGTCTATTTTAGAGCGTGTGTACACGTTCCGTCGAATGAACATCTACTCGGCTGCTACTAATTTTCGAAAGCTTTTCGCCGATACTGTGAAAAATGCGATATGGCAATCGATATAAAGGTTTTTCTGTTAATTTTCCACTACATAATTTGCTAAATATTATATTATAAGAGAGGTTTTTTGTACGGAATTATTTTTTTCTCTTTTCTCTGTCACTACTCTATCACTTTTCAGAAGAGAAGATTTTGTGCATAAAAGTACAGAGAAAATTTTGTGAATAAAAGTAAAGAGAAATTTGTTTAAATAAAAGTAGGGAGAAAATGTTCATAAAATTAAGTAGAGAAAATTTTGTGCATAAAAGTAGGGAGAAAATGTTGCGCATAAAAGTAGGGAGAAAATGTTCATGGAAGTAGAGAGAAAATTTTGTGCCTAAAAGTAGAGAGAAAGTTTTGTATATAAAAGTAGAGAGAAAATTTTGTGTATAAAAGTAGAGAGAAAATTTTGTACATAAAAGTAGAGAGAAAGTTTTGTGTATAAAAGTAGAGAGAAAATTTTGTGCATAAAAGTAGAAAGAAAATGTTGGTGCATAAAAGTAGAGAGAGAAACATCCCTCGTATTAAATGATAGTACCGACCTATAAAATACTAGTATGCAAAAGTAATAAGGATAATAATATTCGAGTATTGTGGATAACTGGTAATATTATAAACAAGAGAGAATAATTTAGATAAGTCGCACATAAAATAATGTATGTATTTATGTATGTAAATTGGCATGGTACGTAATATCTTCTTTATAGTTAATAAAGAAACAGCAACACGTTCAATTTTGATACAAATCTTACCATATAAATTTTAATGGTGCATTCGAGATAGCTAGGAATAATTGGCGGAACGGAAGTTATGAAGTAAATGAGTGACTGTAAATATATAAAGCTATTTCGCGCGAAGCGAGTCGTTTGTTTTCATCACTTTTCTCATTCCGGCTTAAACTATTTTAATTAAACCAACGGCTAATTTAACTAGACAAATCTTCAAACAGAAAAGAGGCCGTTTTCGCGTTTTAGCGTTTTAGCGCTTTTCGCGTTTTCGCCTCTTCCCTGCCCACCTTCCCCGCGGTTATTGTTACTGCATAATAGCTGCTGCCTTATTCCCTTATTCTCTGGCGCTGATTACTACGTTTTCGCTGCTCGCCCAAATGCGGCCTTCTTAGCTGTATAATTAGAAAAGCTTTATTTTAAAATACATTATACAATACCAGTGTAATTTAATTACCAGACTATACCTACTTTCGCAGTCTGTTGAAATATGATGCCTTTAATTTTCTTGATGTTTGTTTTGAGGCGGGAACAAAAATCTATTAGGGGTAAACCGTCGACGTTTCTAAAGGCCCCATACATATCTACTGCTTCTGCTTTAACGGTACATTTATTTCACCATTAATTATTTGCTTTATTCCTTTATATTATACCATTAGAATACTATTTTAATACACCGTTTCTCCCGGAGAATCGGACATAACAATGCTTCATTATTAAAACTCCTCATTCAATCCGAATTCGATTGGTATCTGGTAAATTCATTCATAATAGAAGAATCACTGGAATTGCTACGTAATTTGTATACCAATACCAATTGGATATAACGGGTAAACCGACACCTATTCCGTGATGTTATTGGAAATTAGTAATAAGTACAGCAACAGTAGCAGCAGGAACAAGGGCTCGGGGCTAGACAGACGTATCGTGTTAAGTCACGGTTATTGGTAGACGTCCCGGCTAATAATGCCGAAGACCGGTTCCGATTATATGAAACCTTAACAATGTAAATGGCATAATCAGGGTAGCCAGCTATTATCATCACAATAGAGTTGATAGAGATTAATTCTGCAGCTTTGTGTCCTCGCTTCTGTATCTGACAGAACCGTTTAAATATAAGCCCGATGTAGATGCTCTTTGGCTTAAACTCACTTCTCTCTACTTGTCGCGTAAGTTTCATAGTCGTGGGAAATGCGGACAATCGAATTTTCGCCGTTATTATAGCTAGTTTTATCCGATCGTTCGTTTTGTTATTCCACAATGTACTGTAAATAAAGGGTGTTATTATTTTATACCTATCTATGTCTCGTCATTTTCTATACAATGTTTCGAAATAAGCTTAATTAGGTATGTCTACTTAGAAATAAACTCATGTGAAGACTTTCAAAAAGATCCACTTTCCACTCTTTATGTAAACATACACCAGCCTGTGTTATTAATATTTTAAATAAGCCATCTCAACATCTCTGTTACACGACCATTATAGTGTCCGTCAGTGTTTACGTTAGTAATTAGTACGTATAGAGTCCACAACTAATTATTTAAGTGCGTTACTAAACATTAAAAGGCCGCAGGGTAAAAAAGCTTTTACAAAAATGCTGACTCTTCATTGAAGTTTGAATACCACCGAGTAGCTTTATACAAATCAAATAAGTTGAAAATTATTCATTTAGCATGATTAAATCTATTTCGCGGAATCGTTGTTTTTGAAAGAGAATCATGAATAAAGCCGCGTTTACTGGAGGATTTTTAAATGGGACCGAGGACTATATTTCCGTAACAAGAGCCGCGCCAGCTGATGCTCCAAAATTTCATTTTCCACACAAACTTGTCACCGAAGAGGGTATAAACGGTGACAGTTGGAAACCAACATTGAATTAATTATCTCTAACATCGAAAAGTTGAGTAAAACCGTCGCGTCGCGCAGAATAATTCCGCAAACATTAAAATTTTCAGGGAGTTTTAAATCCGAATCGAATAACGAGACGACATAATTTCCAAACAGCTCGGCTTAAAGCGTCCAATTCGATAGCGAAAATCGCAAAAACTAACGACTGGTTTTCCTATGTAAATGGGCATTTGCTAAACTGTTGACTGAAATTCGGTTTTATTATTTTTCATCTCTCATTTTCGCAGGTGAATTTATATAGTATTTTCTGAAAGAAAAGGCATTTATCGTGCTAATAAAACAATACGATTATAACCGCATAAGGAATAATAAGGGCATTAACCAATCTCTCGCTGTTATCTTTCCCACAACAAAAATTCGTTTTCATTAAGTCGGGCGCGGATCTGACAACACAACTATAACGCAGATGAAAATAAGCCGGTAGTTTACGTTTATGGCGCGAATAAAAATTATTAAGTGTGATGGGTAAGTTCGAGTTCGTCGGCGAGAGCTTTATTTATAATGGCTTCAAGGATTCAATGATTCTCCCGGAAAACTTAAACGCTGATTTATCGGCCGTTCCTGCAGGAGCATCCTTCGGGTTTTTCTTAATTCATTCTTATCTCTGTTTCGAGATGTATTGGATTCCGGGGATTTGGGGATACTAACTACGCAAAATGTCTCAATTAAATACATTAGAAAAGGAGATGAATAATACAAATAGATATAAAAATGGAAAATTAATTGAAATCATGAGATAATATACAAAAATTCTAAATAGAGCTTTTCTAAAAATTTTTGAAATATTTTTTGGTAGGTACATTTGCATGGTTTTTAAATAAATCTACTCTACATCTACTCTGAATATTCAGTGTGCATTCGCATGTTCCCATCAAAAATACCATTGGAAAATCCTGCTAGGCATATTGTTAAATTCTTAAGTAAATTTCAAAATCAAATTTTGTTCCAGAATCTGGAGGGGACCAAGCACCGACCACCAGAACGGCCTTATCTGTGTCCGCTGGAGCCGCAGCAGTGCCGGTGTCGTCGACGCCCAATACGCTGTCGACGACGGGCGGCGCGACGCGCGAATGCGCCGGCTGCGGCAAGCGGATCCTCGACAGGTTCCTGCTCAAGGCGCTGGACCTCTTCTGGCACGAGGACTGCCTCAAGTGCGGCTGCTGCGATTGCAGGCTGGGCGAGGTCGGCTCCACGCTTTACACCAAGGCGAATCTCATACTTTGTAAAAGAGACTATCTTAGGTCAGTGGAAGTACTTACTAGTTATTAATTGTGTAAAGTTGTTCGAAGGACTTGCCATTATAAACCATCCATTAATAGACGCGATAAATCCGACGAGGAAACCGGAAACTATCTTCTTGTATAATCGAAGTTGTTTTTAAGGGTCCCGTGCTCGAAAGTATCTAACGTTCTTTGCACTTGCTCTAAAAGGTTCTACATATTTATAGCGGACGTCCTATAAATTTCGGATAGCGACGGGACCTATTGCTTTATTTGATTTTTAGCAAAAGTTTGGTGGAAATACAGTTTAGCCGTAAAATGTATTGGATACAGACCATTAAAGATAAAAATCTTAAGTAGTATTAATCTTGAAAATCCTCGAGGCAAACTATTATTTTAAAATATTGCCGGAGCAGATAACGGAATTAAAATTTACCACTAAATTTTATGATTATTTGTTGATTTTAAAATGTCATTGAACATTGTGATTTTGTAAAATGTAATCACTTGAATTACATTATATAAATCATTAAATTTTATTAATTCGTTTATAAATTTATTGAGGTTATTGTCAAAATTATATACAGTGCATTTAACAAACTATACTATATTTTTTATTGAACAATCCCCTCTTTATTATCTTTTATTTATCTAATGGTTATAGCAATATTGCCACGTTTTTGTATAGTATACGTAATTTTTTCCATTTCATAAAATTCGATAGTGGGTCTAAACGTTACCGCGAAATTCCTATTCAGAAGCTTAGCGAAGCAAATATTACATTTACATACGCGGTTTTCCAAACATTGGACTAAATTTAATGGACTTTTAAACTTTTAATCGCCTCTCCTGCAATTACCACTTAATTACACACACAACTTCTATTAACATGTTAACTGCCAATTGCCTGTAATTAGCGATGGCTCGTTTCGTATGAATGCGTTGTCCAGAAGTATTTATGGATTCCAATGTATTTTCCAGATTATTGACTTTGGTTATAATCGTTTTACCAGGGCCGGCTTGGGATGTTGTATTAAACATTTTCCATATTTATTTAATGAAAAATTTTATTGGCAAATACGAAATCATGCAATAATATCGATAATAAGCGGTTATCCTAATCCTAAACCCCGAAAACTAAAAAAGTGCGGATTTAATAGAGCTTTTTGTAGCTCGCATTGCCGTAATATCGTTCTATGTAAATGTTCAATTTAAATTTAACGACCTTAAATGCTTTTACGTCCGACTAGGAAAAAAATTGATGCGAAATAGCTGGAATAAATGCACCAATGTACCTACTGAATTCGAATAAAATCGGTATTAAACGTAACCTAACGTAAGTGCTTTTTCTGAATTCGATGATCATGTGAATGTTGTAACAATTGATTCGAGAGGAATTCGATTAAATATAAAACAAATTTTAACCCCGTTGAAATATTAAATTCTTTAAAAATCCAGCTTAACATTCTGGAGGCTTTAAAAGTTCCGAAACGGCATGTCGGACGGTTATAGCAGAAAGAAAATTAATTAAAAAATGGCATTTTTTATTAAGATTACAACGATGTATAAAGGCACCGTCTATTCGGAGTCAATTTGGTGTAATGTAATTTTTATAGCCCGGCTATACCTATAAATTTTATAGCAATCTACACTCGGAAATTGGTGTAGCACGACAAGGACCTTATAAATATTGGATCCCAATAGCTTTTCTCTAATCATCTTGAGGATACTTTAATATCCTCGCAGACTTGAATTATTTTCGCATAATTTCAATGAAGTTATTTTCGTTTTATTATCTCAAAGTGGCCACGCTTAATTATATCAATGGCGTCCCTTAAGAAAACGAAAATCCTTTCTAAAATCACAAATAATAATTTGAAAACCATTTAGTTCATTAAATGAATTCTTTAGAGTAAATTCTAGTACATATTTAATCTGTTTAAACATACCTAATAAATATGTGTAGGTAAGGACATAAAAATTATGTATAGCAGGTACTTATTGGGAAAATTAAACTGAAAACATGCGAGATTTTTCAGAAAGCCGAACAATACAACAATAATTTTTAATGTTCCGGTTATTTGTTTCAGGTTATTCGGTACAACAGGATATTGTGCAGCGTGTAATAAAGTTATACCGGCCTTTGAAATGGTAATGAGGGCGAAAAATAACGTCTATCACCTAGAATGTTTCGCATGCCAACAGTGCAATCATAGGTGAGTAGGGAGGCTTAATTGGGTTTTCTTTCAAATGCGGAGATTTTTATCGTTGCGAACATTTACCGGTTTTTAACTTGCTTTGGAAAATTGATTTATTCATGTTTTTTCATTGCAGGTTTTGCGTAGGAGACCGATTTTATTTATGTGAAAATAAAATTCTCTGTGAATACGATTACGAAGAACGGCTAGTTTTCGCAAATATGGCGTATAATCCGAGTAGTTTAGCTCATATCAGACGGCAAGTCAATAGTTTGCAGGTATAGTAAAATACTGTAGAAATCTGAGTGGCTTATCGAACAAGAAATATTTATATTCCTTAAGAATTTATCAACAAATCCCTTTATATACAAAGCAAATGAACTGACCCGTACAAGCTCTTCAAAAAACCATTTAATAACCACTTTAAATTACGAGGAATGATTTCTAACGGCTGGCGAAAATCTAAACTGCACACTCCACATCCGCACTAATGCAGTGAATAATGAATACGTAAAATAATATTTGTTATATTTTGAAAACCCGGCATGTAAGGATGAAAGCTAAGAGCCCTCATTCGACTGCTTTTAGCTTTCAAACAAGCACTTTGCACGAACAGAAAATATCGCTCCGAGTCCATTTACTCAAAAGCATTTAATGATTCGCGTTTGTCCTTATAATAGCTTAATTTTTTGTTCTTCTCCTGAAATGTGGCCCTTTTAAAGTGCAGTTTCGATGGCCTGTTACTCGGTAACTTATTAGAATCTCATTTCGTTATTAATGTTATTATCGATACTCAAACATTCACCGAAGTCCCCTGCAGCGACAAAATTTGTAGCGGCGTATTTCGTTGATGCACGGTGTATGTTTTTTTTATCTCTGATCAAGCGTTTGGATTTGCATTTTTATTTCCCTTGACAAAAGGACGTTTTGCTGTGAGTTGATTTAAAGGCAACTTCGAATTAAAAGCGTTTGACCAAAGTAGAAAATAAAATGCCCAGTATTTTAATCCTATCTTTCCGTGCGACTACTAAATTCATCGGTGGACTTGTATCTAAATTAAAAAAGCCAACCCCATACGCTCCTCGAATACTTTATTATTTTTTTAATGACGATTCTGTGAGGGTTTGTAACTTTCAAGATAACAGGGCATTATGTAAACGTTTCGGGCGATAGAGATGAATTATTGTAGGTATTGTGTATATGAAGAGTCAAGTTTTTTCAGTGTAATTAAATAAGATAGCCAAAGGAAAAAGGGTCTTTGAATAACGTGCAAATTGATTCCTGAAATCCAAGTTCTTTCTACGTCTATGTCTATGCATGAACGAGATTTAACTATTATTTATTTTCTACTACGCGATTCCGGAATAACTCCCTAAATGCAAATATGTTATATTGTACTATTTTACATTTTATATCGTGTTTGTAGAGGTCCCTATATTTCTGGATGCCGGAACGGATTATGTTGCTTTTTTTATATTTTATGCCTGGATGTAACAACTCGTTTAGAACTTTTAAATGAAATAAAAGGCAGGTATTTGCATAAAACCGCAGAAATGCCGTGACAGAGTTGACCAAAGGAAAAATCTAGCAGGATACGCGACGCTTTCAAACGCAGTACGTTCGCGAGTTCTGACGAAATTTTGTTCAAACAAAGCGGTTATGTTATAAAAAATTTTTTGAAAAAAAACTCGCAAAATAAATAACGAGCCCGCTAAAAGAGTGGCGAAAATGTTAAAATGACTTACCCTTTTATCGTCAAAGGACTCCGTAAATGTTTACACTCAACAAAAGGTTAATAAGGAAACAAGTTGAAATAAAATTTATTTATTATAAGTTGAATAAATGATTGAGATTTCTTTAAAAGTTATTTATAAATGAATCTTGCATGGGTAGACAATAATTGGGTTGATAAATAGCTCTATTGTTGGTTACAGAAATCGACTCCCGTTGGATTGATAAAAAGCTATTTTAGGTTGATAGATGGCTCTATTGGTTAAAAATGACTCTGGGATAGATGGCAATTGACTCCCCTTGGATTAATAAAAAGCTCTTTTAAGTGGATAAATCAGTTCTATTGGTAACAGAAATGACTCTTGGATAGATGATAATTGATGATAATAATGCATAATTGACTCCCCTTGGGTTCATAAATAGCTCTTTTAGGTAGATAACTGGGCTCTATTGGTTATAAACATTACTTTTGGACAGATGATATTTAATTCCTTAGGACTGATAACTCTTATGTAGATAATTTTCTGTATTGGGTTCAAAAATAATTTAGGGGTAAATAATCAACTCTTCATAGTTCATGATTTTCAGGAAATAATGAATAGGTAAATAATGAAATAATGGACTGTTGGGTGAATAATTGAAGTGTTTGATTAACACTTTAGTGCAAATTTATTATAGAGTGTACAAATTACAAATGTACGTCAAATAGTTACGTTTCTGCCAAATACAGCAGCGTCTTCAAACTTCTTAATTATTTTTAACCATATGTTTAACTATGTAGTTTAGAAACAGATGTAGTGTATGTAGTGAATAATGATTTTTAAACACATTTAATCCGAAAACTTATTGAGGTTGGTTGGTATATTTCAGCCACCGGCGGGCGGCAACCCAACCACACTCAATGATGGTAGATTAGTGACCAACAGCCCGTCCTGTTACAGCGAGAAGAATTCGGACACGGCGCCGCCGCCCCACGTCCCACTGCGACAGCCCATTAGCCTCGGCGAGTTGCCCATGCACCATCACCAGCTCACCGCCTCCCACAATCAGATGCTGTCGGCGCCGCACCATCTGCGCGGCGACGACGGTTCCAGCGGGTACGGCAGCCCCGACTCGGAGACCTTCGAACCGACGCCGGCCCATCAGTGACGACAGCTGGCCGCCACGATGCGTGGCGCCCCCCAATTGAACGGAGGAGGACGCCCGATAGCCACCAAGGGCCGACACAAAAGGAAAACGAACGATACCTAATATTTTCCCACGTTTTTCGGCAGAGGTGCCGGACCTTTTCCTTGATACTCGCAATTCGACGCTGTAGACAATACTATTTAGTAATTCAGATCAAAGTCTTGGTGATCAATAAGTATGTTTGTTTTTTGTTTAGGTATCGTTCGCGGGTCTTTTTGAATGAATTTGTGTAGTGAGTAAAGTGAACGGAGATAACGATCTCATTTGTGCTAGTCCAATTTGCCAAAAAAAGTAACTTTAATGAACGTTACAAACAGAAGAAGTCGTCGTATTATATCCGCGATTATTATCTTTATTGTTGAAATTAATTTATTTCACTCAAATAGTATACGAAAGATATTTTAACTACCTGCCAAAAGAGCAAGAATCTAGACTTAAGTTGTAATTCATTACATTACAAATGAATATATTTTAGCACTTTATTTTTAAGCTAAAAATTTGTATTTTTTTACAAGTATTAATAGATGCATACGTAACATAAAAACCTGTTAAAAAACGTTTTGTCTACTAACTGTTACTACCTAAACACACCATCAATTTATTATTTTAATAAAATTTTTCGCTTTCGCACAGAGTCCGTTTATCAGTGCCTTTTCGAATCGCTGTCTCAAATTTATCCAGAATAATATACTCTTAGTATTTTTTGGAATAATTACGTATGCCTCTTTCAATACTTAGTGCAATATTTCATGTACAGTTAATAAATCCACACATGTTGTATACTATATTCGTGGCCTGTTTAGAACCTTTCTCAGGTTTTTCCTAAGCTTTCTTTTCGAGTTTCTGTCCTATTGATGTTAAAAACGGCGTTTTGTAATGTTGCAAATAATATGCGTTATTTTTGGGAATAACATTTGTTTTACTTGGAAATTGAAAAATTAAGTTGTATTATTTTTTCGTTAAAAGAAATGCAGTGTTTGTTAGTAAGTTTGTTTAACTTAAATACACTGTTCTATTTTTAGAGTATATAATTTTTTTTAATCGTAAAATTGTATAAATTGAATTATTAAGTTTTTATTGAATTTTTAAGTTATAATCACGAGCAGAAATTCTTGAATTTAGTGCAATAAATTAACTCTGCTCTGATGCTCTGATGAATTATTCTCTACAAGATAAAGAAGAGGGAGTGTTTTCTTAACGAAGATGTTCAAAATTTTCCAACACCAACTATAAGTGTATTCTTGTCATAGTTCATAAAAACAAACATAATAATGGCCGCAAAATATAAAGCATCGTGTAAGGGAATAGATTTTATTCCTCCCACTTCCATGTAAAGGGTTCTTTGATTCAAATTGCATATTGCTCAAGAAACAAGAATATGCTATAGTGGCAAGTTTAGGCATAAATATTTTAAAAAATAATTTTACATAGGGACAACTATAATTTCCTTGCAGTGTATATTATGTAATATACCTACATTATATTTAAATTTTCATACTGGTACAAGATTTCTACTCTTGTAGTAGTTTCTACTATACTACATTACTAATATTTTTCATATTGAATTGCTACTTTACTACAGTTTGTTTAGTATTTCATTTGTCAAAACTTTACTAATTTCAATGACTTATTTCTAATTTTGTAAATAAGACACACGTTTGTGATTAAATTGTATAGTTTGTAAAAATCCTACTTTTAGTTGGTATTGTGATAAAAAATATTTCTAAAAATATTAAAGAACGCTGCTATCTATTAGCTTTTTATATACATATCTGCAATTTTTTGTTAACATTGAATATTTTTATAGTTATTATTCTTGTACAATAAATTTTACTTTCTTTTTCAGCAAACGGTAATTATAAGGATGTAAATCTTTCCTTTGTTATAAACTGTATATAGTAGTTAAAAATAATAAATGTTGTCTTTTCGTTATAAGGGTTTCTTTTTTAATAAACAGAACATTTTTAATAACTAACAAACCCACAAAAATTTTAAACATTGAAGTATAATAATGTTTTGTGTAAAATAATAAAGGATCAAAATTGCTTTAATAAAGAGTAAAATGATGCTTTTTAAATGTGGAATATTTACTTAAAAACATAAATATAAAATATATAAATATAGTATAATTTTCTAATAAACTAACCTTCGATTCTTAAAACCATATAATAATAGCATTACAAGTAACAACAGCCAGTGCTATTATAGCGTTTGGTCTATCTTTTTGATATTCTAGGTAGATTGACATTAACTCTATTTGATTTATTAAAACTTATGAAATTATAAACCTGTGGAAAAGTAAATTACAGCCAATAAACAGTAAATAAATATAACCCTGTCAGGAGTTAACTATAAGAATTGGTCTTTGCTTATAAAACGTTAAATTTCTTCATTGCTATTCCTATATTTTTTTAACTATCATCAAGAAATCTATTGTCTATTTATTACAACAAAAATTGTAAATAATAAGTTGTTGGCAATTAAAGCTTATAAATTAAAAAATAGACCTATATTATAATGCTATAATAGCACACCTGTTAATTGTTGATATATATTACTACCTCAACTAAAATTGTACACTCAGATATATAAATACTTACTTTACGATATAGGTCAAGAAGAGCAGCAAGAAGAAGATTGTGGCTTACTGTTACTGATTGAATCTTCGGTAATTCGTAAAGCAGTCTGCTTCATTGGCATGAATTTCTTCTGGTTCTTCAACTTATGCGCTAACGTTAAAAAAATAGCCTCTACATTATCACATTGGGAATCTAACCTAGCAGAAGTTTCGAATAACTGAAATAAAAATTCATCAAATTGAGACGATTCTATTAAAAGTTAAGACATTTTACTTACCGGCATGTTGTATTGGTCTGCGAACCTTTGGGCAACGTTCGTTGTAACTGCTGCGACTGCATCACATTTGTTGCCCACTAAGATTTTTGGTACGTCATTGAGGCAATTCTTGTTGCATTCTTCGATCCATTTTTTCAAAGAGTCGAACGATGGAGCACTAGTCACATCGTAAACGAAGACTACGGCATGTGCATTCTGGTAATAGTGACGGACCATTGACATCCGGTACCTTTCCTGGCCTGCAGTGTCCCATAATTGCAGCTGCAATGCAACTATTGTTTAGATTCGACTTTAGACTCTTCACAAACGTAAGCAAAATTAGTTTCTCTACTTACTACAATATCTTCTCCATCGATATTGAGGACTCTACTTCGAAAATCAACGCCTATAGTGCTCTCTGCTAATTCCAAAAACTTTCCTTCGCAAAATCTATATGTTAACGTTGTTTTTCCTACACTCGAATCTCCGATTACGATGATTTTGAATATCTTCTCGTGCTTTTTCGTTTGAGTGTGACTTACGACGGCCGATTGTTGAACACCATTATTTATATTCTCCATTATAATGTAAAAACATTACTTAAAATAGTGAATACGAAACTAATTGTCAACGAACTTTTACTAACTTTTTAGAAAAAACTTTCTAAATTACAATAAATCGACGATAACAAAAAATGGAATTGTCACTGTCAGTCTGACATATGTCGCAAATCATATGTTATCTATCATATGTCAAAGTCTTCTGCGTATATTTATTATTTTTCAATTTGTGTCTTGTTAGTCCCATAAGTCAAAGGCAACAATCAGTTGATATCAGACTGCACTGTCATTGTCAATCAGTCATTCAGTCTGTCAAAAGTTCAAAGTTACATTTGGTTAAAATGGCGTAAAGAATTGTTTGGAATAAAATAATTTGGGTGTGGCTAAATTATAAATCAGAATTTAATGAAGGGACTGCCTAATTGCTGAACAAATAAAACGGAAAAGTAAATACTTCTGTTCCTGTAATTCACCAATTAAATCATTGTCAAGCAGCGAGGTTATCCTGTTGAAATTTTCGTCATGTCAACGATAATCTGGTCCAGAAGTATTATTTTTGAATTAAATTAGAAAAATGTCTCGCTTGGCCGATTATTTTGTTATCGTAGGATATGACCACGAAAAAGAAAGTTAGTATTTATTCATTATTCTCGTTAATGTCACAAGTAAATGCGTTTCTAAGGTTTGTTTATGTTTCAGGAAGTGGGATAAGCAATGGCATGATACTGCAAAGGTTTCCTGAAAAAGATTGGCCGGACACTCCTTTCATTGAAGGGATAGAATGGGTATAATCTCGTAGTCTTACAGTAGTTTCTCGATATTGTACGTTTTAATTTTAGTTTTGCCAACCACAAGGTTGGTGTTTGTCATCGGAACGACAAGAACCTCGATTTTTCGTGTCTGTTCTTACAGATATCGACGCCAATAGGCATTTCTGTGCCTGCTTGTGCTTCAATGAAACCGTTTCAATAACGCCTAGTAAACCTGTTGATGAGGTATGTATGACAATGAATTGTAGGTTTTTGTTTATTATAAACCTTTCAGGAAGAAGATGCTGTTGAAGGAGAAGCCCCCTTAGTGCGGGCTATACCTGCGATATCCCATCATAGCATTATGTACGCTCCGAAATGCTTGGTTTTAGTTTCTAGATTGGATTATATCGAAACTTTTAGAGTAAGTTTTCTTTTTTATTTTTTATTAGTAGTATTTTTAATTACGTTTTTATTATAATAATACTGACATAAAATAAATGTAGTTATGAGATATGTGTATGTATAGATTCTGATAAAGAGAGCGTTTAATTTTATTGCTCTTTTGTTATCATTCTTTTTTAATATCACTATTATATTTAAATCTACTTGATATAATGGACGTATTATAAACATTTATTTATTAAATATTGCACTGATAATTTTGAATTACATTCATTTCATTCTTAAAATAATATTGATATTAGTTTACAAATTCATAATTCAATTATAAAAAAAATTATATGGTATCCCTAACATTGTATATATTTTCAGAATTGCCTTGGTGTGATATACTCGGTTTACATAGAAAACATGCCGATTCCTCTGGAAACATTAGTAGGGAACATACTTGGCTGCGTACAAGTTCCTCCTCCGGGTGGGCCTCAAGTTCGATTTAGCATAGGAGCAGGAGATAGACAGGCATTGCAACCTCCGTTGTCGCCCTCTCTTCCAGTTACAAACACATCGGTCAGCTTGTTGTTTCAAGAATTAGGAATTCGGAACGTAATTAAACTTTTTTGTGCAATAATGACGGAACACAAGATATTATTCCACTCAAAAAGTTACAATAGATTAACGGAGGCATGCAGGGCCTTAACTGCCATAATGTATCCGTTTAGATACACCCACGTTTATATTCCTTTGCTGCCCGCTTCATTAGTAGAGGTTCTATCAACGCCTACTCCTTTTATTATGGGGGTACATTCATCATTGAAATCAGAAGTAGCTGAATTGGTAAATTATACTAAACCAAACGTAATAATTTTGTGTTAACTTACAATGCTTTATAGATGGATGTAATTGTAGCCGATTTAGATGGAGGATCGATTACAGTTCCTGATGGTATATCACTTCCTCTTCTTACCGAGCCGCTGCTGAGCAACACCCAAGAGGCTCTAAGTTTGATCCTGCAGCCGGAACTGTCGTTTGCAGATCACGCTTTTCCTCCATTGCCCATCCGAGGGCCGTCATCTATCATGTTAGACAAAGAAGTCAGGGCTGTTTTCATGAGGACATTTGCTCAATTACTGCAAGGTTACCGCAGCTGTCTCACGATCATTCGAATACACCCGAAACCGGTGATAACGTTCCACAAAGCCGCGTTTCTAGGAGAACGGAATTTAAAAGACTGCGATTTCACGACGCGCGTATTGGACTGCATGTTTTTCACGAGTTTCGTGTCCGAACGGGGCCCGCCGTGGCGCCCCTGCGACGTCTGGGACGAATTGTACAGCACCCTCAACGAATTACTGAAGACTGAAATGCAAGATACTCATTTGATTTTGTCTCACATACAAGATTTGGCGACGCAATTGTACACCAACGAAATACCCAATCCTCAGTCGTACTCTCAGAAGATTCCTCTACCGCCCGAAGGAGCCTACGCGAGAATACACCAGCCCGCTTTGCCGAAGATTAACGGGGAGAAAGTTCAAGCTATCATCGATGAGGGATTATCGAAGCATAATTTGAAATCTAGGTAAACGTGAATTGCGTTTTTTTCTTATATTAAATTTTAATGGTTTTGGTATTTAGTTATTCTAATTTTTTTAAATTTTTTCACATGCAGTGGTGACTATGCTTGGTAAGTTCAAGATGTATTTTAATGTATAAATGTTGTGCTACAATCAACAACAGACAAATTCTTCGCTTGATGTTGTTTTGTTCGTAAAAGATGGTGCATTTCGCTTTTGCATAAAATGTAGTTGCATTCACCAATATTGGATTATCTTCTTGCTTCCTTAGCAGTACATTATACTAGAAACAAGCTGCGTATTCTACAGTACAATATACTACTTGAAGAGTAAAAATATTTATCTTTGCTTTATCTACAAGAAATTTCTTATTGTTCTTTATGTCTTCAATTTTTAACCTATTTTTTATTTATATTCATACGCTATTTTTAATTCTAGGTTATCCTCATTAAGGCCAATACAACCTCGAATAGTACCAATGGGTCCAAACATATCCAATCTCAGCGACAACAAGAATATTGTCAGCAATTCAGCGAGAAGATTAGAGGTATTTAATCGAAAATCATCCACTACCATAACATATTAAGTAACTAATTTACTGTTAAATAGGTATTAAGAAACTGCATCAACTGCATCTTCGAAAACAAAATATCCGATGCGAGGAAAACATTTCCGGCAGTTTTGAGGGCGCTGCAATCGAAACAGGCTCGACTGGCTCTCTGCCACGAACTCTCCCATCACGTCAGCGGCACCAAGGCGATGTTGGAGCATCAACAATTCGATTTGGTCGTCAGGCTGATGAATTGCGCCTTGCAAGACGATTCTTCCATGGACGAACACGGCGTAGCCGCGGCTCTGTTGCCGCTCGCGACGATATTCTGTAGAAAATTGTGCACCGGAATCATCCAGTTTGCGTATACTTGCATCCAGGAGCACAGCGTGTGGAACAATCAACAAGTAAACCAACCAAAAACGTACTCCGATCGTGGATTTATTAAATCTGTTTTGCAGTTTTGGGAAGCAGCTTTCTACCAAGACGTTCAAAAGGATATCAAAGCTTTGTACACTTCGAGAGAGCCTAAAATAACAGGCGACCATCTCAGCCCGTTGTCGCCGAGAGATTCGAAGGACTACAGCTGGCATAGGCGTTCGGCTCTGACGGCCGCGTTCTGTAGAACGCAGGAGCCCACGGCTCTGGAAATAGCGGCGGAGCAAATGCGAATATGGCCGTCGATCGAAGCTGAAAAGCAGAAGGAGCTGATCACTTGCGAGGAAAACACCATTTACAGTCAAGCCATACATTACGCCAATCGAATGGTGTATCTGTTGATACCGTTGGATATGGGACATAAAATGAGCAAGCAAGATTTGTTCGATGAAGAGAGAATAAGCAACAGCATCGCTAATAGGTAAACAAGCTTTCTTAGAATAATATTTACTCTTTTGGCTGATTTTGATTTTTTCGTAGTGTTGCCGAGAGCGATAGTGCAGACGCTGAATCTGGTTTCGAAGATCAAGATCCGGGCGAAACGGGCAACACCGTGATCCGAATGGTTTCCCGTTTCATTGATAAAGTTTGTAACGAAGGCGGGGTTACAAGGGATCACATTAGAAATTTACATCAAATGATACCCGGTGTAGTGCACATGCACATCGAAACGTTGGAAGCCGTTCATCGGGAATCGAAGAGACTTCCGCCGATTCAGAAACCTAAAATTCTAACGCCGAATATGTTAGCAGGAGAAGAAATAATAATGGAAGGTAAATTCGTTAAACAGAAATTTGATCTTTTGATTACTATCGTTATTTTAGGTTTGAGAGTGTATCTTCTACCCGATGGTAGAGAAGAAAGTAGTGTTGGTTTACTAAGCGGTCCTCCATTATTACCAGCGGAGGGTGCAATCTTCCTTACAAACTACCGCATCATATTTAAAGGAATACCTTGCGATTCTTTTGGTATACTACAATATTTTGTTTTAAAAATAATATTCTAGTTGAAACATTTTTTTTAGCTTGCGAGCAAATAGTCGTACGATCGTTTCCGGTGACTTCTCTGACAAAAGAGAAGAAGGTGGCGGTGCAATATCTGGCCCATCTTGATCAATGGCTGCAAGAAGGGTTGCAGTTGCGCTCGTGCACCTTTCAACTGATGAAGTTCGCTTTCGACGAGGAAGTAACGGCCGAGAACGTCGATACGTTACGGAAACTCATACATAAAGTGCGCCACCCGCCCGACGTTTTCCACCATTTCGCCTTCACCGGACAAGTGGTCGTCAGTCAGACGCCTTTGCATAAAAATAAAGTGAGCTTGCATTCTAAAACTCTTCAATTTTGCATCGAAAGTTTGCTAGAACTACAGTAATTTGTTTGTTTTAGGAAAAGAACGCTACGTTGAAAGGATTCGCCAAAAAAACGTTCCTGAAAACCGCGAGAAAAGCCGGTTTCAAGCAGAAATCGTCTTCCAAACGACAAAAATACGTTTTGCCCAATTTGAATATAAACAACGGAAATAAATACATGACGTCGCCCGGTCGAATGAGCCTACCCATAACCGATGACTACGGACATGACGATGATCTGTCCATTGACGATTTCGAAACCGGCCAACCGACCATTTCTCCGGCTCCAACTGACGCTAAAACGCTGGAACGATTGCAGGAGAGGAGTTACGTAAGGGACTGGCAGAGGCTGGGTCTGTGTAACAACAGCAGTTCGCCTACGACTAAACAATCTGCGGATCAATTCCGTTTGACGTCCGTTAATTCGATCTACATGATGTGTAGAAGGTAATATTTTTATTATAAATTGTTCGTACTTAATCACTCAATGAACTGTTATAGTTATCCTGCATTGCTGGTAGTTCCTGCTACTGTGACCGACGAAAGTATTAGACGATTTTGCCGTTGCTATCGCCAAGGTAGAATACCTGCAATAACGTGGAGACACCCTCGCACGAAAGCTTTACTTTTAAGAGGAGCTGGTCACCATGGAAAAAGTGTCATGGGTATGTTGAAGAGTCACCCGGCACCTGCCGCTTCTACAGGTATGTTAATATAATCCGTTTTAAAGTACTTAAAATCCTTACTATATTTATCCGATTATAGAAACCACATCGTCTACTGAACAAGATAAATATCTATCGGCTTTGGTAAACGCAACTCCGATTTATTCGCACAGAACAACATGGGGAATGTCGGATAGTTCCTTGAGTATAGACTCGCTTTTATTAGCAGCAGAAGATCCTTTGGCTTGCGCTACAATGACTCCGGAAGTAGCTAGGCGATCTAATCCTTTTAACAAAGCTATAGGAACTTTAGGGTAAATCTATTTCATTAATATCGCGATTAGTATTTAAAAGTACCTATTTATTCCAGGGTGTTTCCGCGCTCTTCGGGCGGTAAAGGTCCGAGGAACTTCGGCAGATGGGGCTCCCTCAAGGATCGCCGGCAATCATCGCAAGCGTCTTTAGCAGGCGCGCAGGGTAATAGAGTTAACCTGCGACACAGCACCGATATCGATAACGCGATAGATGGAGTTCACTCGCTCCAGAGAGCCGCGCTCTACATTCTGGGCGAGAAGGCTCATATGAAAGGCATCAAAATAGAGGCGGCGCCGAAGACTGATTTTATCCCGGTAGAATACTACGACGTGAGACACACGAAAGCCGCTTTCAAGAAATTGATGAGAGCGTGCATACCGAGTTCCCAGAACGCCGAACCCGAGCACAGCTTCCACAGGTTGATCGAAAGTTCGGAATGGTTGCAACAGATACAGAACATCATGCAATTGTCCGGCGCTGTGGTAGATCTGCTGGACCTTCAGGGATCGTCGGTGGCGCTTTGTCTCGAGGAAGGGTGGGACATTACGGCTCAAGCTGCTTCGGTCGCCCAACTTTGCTTGGATCCCCATTATCGCACTATCGAAGGGTTCCGGGTGTTGGTCGAAAAGGAGTGGATAGGATTCGGTCATAGGTTCAGTCACAGGAGTAACTTGAACGCCAACTCGCAGGCGAGCGGCTTCGCGCCGACTTTCCTGCAATTTTTGGATGTCGTACACCAAATTCAGAAGCAGTTTCCCATGGCGTTCGAATTCAACGATTACTATTTGAGGTTTTTGGCGTACCATTCGGTCTCTTGCAGATTCAGGACGTTTTTGTTCGATTGCGAATTAGAAAGGGTAAGCGATGATATTCGAGTATGCAAATTTATACGCCCAGTGCATGGCCATTTATGAATTAATAGTATCGTATAACACTATTAAGTTTTAGTGTGATATTTTCAGGTCGAAAGCGGAGTTGCTGCTGTCGAAGACAAGCGAGGCTCCCTGACGTCCCACCACAAAAGCGTCGATACTGTTTCGGACGATGAGAACATCTACCCAGGTGGCAGGATTGCCTCGTCTTCTCAAGGACCCAACTTGGGCCAAAGCGTTTTCGATTACGTGGAAAAACAGCACGCCAGGAATCCGATGTTTTTCAACTTCATGTACACGCCGGACTTCGAGCATCCGGTGCTGAGACCCCAATCCTACCTGCCTTGCTTGGAAATCTGGAGCTACTATCTCGACGAAGACCTGCGGTACGGGCCGAGCTACGATCCGGAGATAAATCAGATGGATTCCCAACAGGAGGAAGAAGCCGAAGCAGCGGATGGCATCGCGAAAACCAGGAAAATCGTGTGCTTGGGATACGATAACGTGAACAGAACGGTCCCGGACGCTTTCAGCCATTTGCTCGAGGAAATCCACAAGCTGGAATCCGAACTGGGCCATTTGCCGCAAAAGTGGAAGATCCTTTGGGACAAATTGGAAATCCCGTTGACCGATTCTCTTACAGTAAATAAATGTATTAATTCTAAATGTTTATATATTTTATTGGTACTTTTTTTCAGCGTCACGCTTCCTTCAGCACTGCCTTGGTTAGATCGCACGGAAGATTGGTGCATAAACGATCGACGCTGGAAATTTTAATGAGGGGTAAAATGGTCGGTGCAGCCGAAACCTCTCTCATTTACTCCCATCCGCATAGATTCGAACGTTACAATTACACTACTCCCACTTACTGCGATCATTGCTCGAACGTATTGTGGGGACCAGTAAAGGTAAGTCGTATTCTTCAATTGGTATAAAACGATGTGGTTTAAATGGTGCCTTTCAGACTGGTATGAGATGTATGGATTGCGGATACAGCTGCCATGAAAAATGTACAGACAGTGTACCTAAAAACTGTACAAAGTACAAATCCGTTGCAGATAGTGTAACGTCACATTCGCAGGGTAACACTGGTGACAACGCGTCCGTTAGTTCGGGTAAGATTTGTTAAATTTGTACTCTGAAAGTGTTATAAACGTACGATTTTAGGAAGCGCTCGTCAAACGTCTAATCAACAGTACTATGAACAATTTTCGTCGAACGTCGCCGAAGATAGAACGCACGAAGGATATTTGTACAAAAGAGGTGCATTGCTCAAAGGCTGGAAACAAAGATGGTTTGTGCTGGATTCCATAAAACACCAACTTAGATATTACGATGCGATGGAAGATTCTCATTGCAAAGGGTATATAGGTAAGTGGTAATCGACAAACTGTTGCTGGAATTTTTTATTAATGCGATTGTTGTAGATTTAGCTGAAGTAATGTCGGTGAATCCTGCACCGCCAGCGCCAGGTCCTCCTAAGAAAACGGACGATAAGTCTTTCTTTGATGTAAGTAACGTGTTGAAGTTTATGTAGAATAATTGCAAATTTATTTTGTATTTGCAGTTACGAACTAGTCGCCGAACATACAATTTTTGCGCTATCGATACAGCATCGGCACAAGAATGGATCGAGAAGCTACAAGCTTGTCTATAAAATAGAAAATAATACTCTTAATCCAAAGTTAGATAATTTCCATATTTATATATATTTTTTGTATAATTTTAGGTGGATAAACGTTTTTTATTTTAATTTTTTTAAATTATATTTTTTTACGTTGATGTAGATCTGTTACGAAGTACCGAAAAGAATACAATGCTCGGTAGATTTACTTTTTTTATTTAATAAGCGACTATCGAACTATAATTTGAATCTCTGATCATTGGTCAAACAGCATTGATAACGAATTGTGATCTTTTTCATACTGAACGTAATATTGCAAAAATAAAAAAGTGTACTAAATGAATTTTAATTTACAATTTAACATCTAAAATCGTTTCCGTTGGTTATATCATTAACTATTGAGCAACGTGTTGCATTTCTTGTTAAATGTGCTTATATGGTAATTAGATAAATGTCAAATATATTTTGTAGGGGAAATATTTTTATGCGAAGCTCAAAGTAAATTTTAATAAACTATTAATCAAAAACATTAGTTTGTATTTTGGGTAATAGCAAATAACAGCTGTCATTCTTGTCACATTTATATGTTATAAAATTTAAAAATCACCTACTAAAATAAGAAAACGTGCAATAAATAATGTATGTGAATAATTTCTTGTAATATTTGTGACTATCATTTTATTTAATACAGTACCTACCTTATTGTTAATAGAACATTTTTTGGTTCCAAGATTTTGCATTTTTGAAGAACCAAAGATTCATCAATATTTGTTACTTCTTTGTAAATAATTTAGTTTTTGGACAAGTAAATAAAATTGTATTGTTTATACTGCTATTGTGAAAATATTTTATGCATGTTCGTTGTCTTATTATATTGTTTTCCTAAATATTAATATGTGTGGCTTTAAAACAAACTTACCCGCTTTAATTTCTGTAAATTGTTTTAACATTCCATTTAAATTTTTGATTACATAGACATTTTGGAGGACTTATCTTTGGAAAATTGCGTACTATGTTCATATCTAGTAAATGAAATATCTACTGTTATATTTGTGATGTTAATTTGTAAGTACTTGTTGTTTAACATATATATTTTAATTTCAACTTTATTGCAAAACAAACTGCCAAAGTTACTTTAATAAAGGATAAATATTTCAATTGTTCTTTTCTCTAACATTGCAACCAACTGATTCGCATTTTAATAACAATATTAATATTAGAATAATTTACAAAAAGAACCAGTTGCTGGAAAATCATGAATTGTTTATGTTTAATTAACCTGGTTGACAAATGTATAAAATATTAATACAATTACTTACGCACCTGTTATTTAATTAGTTAGGTTTCTGCTATCCTGTCCACTAGTCAAAGATACAGAGCAAATAAGTATATTGATCTGTTCCGGCGACGGACAACCAGCCAACAATTGATCTTCATCACTGTAACACCCTTTCAATAACAACTGGTCAATTTGCATGAAAGCATTGATGACGTTGTTCTTGATAGGTCGAAATAGAATAAATTCGGTTTCTCTGTTGGCCAAGTACAATTGCATAGATCTCTGAATTTCTGGAATTTTGGTTTTCATATTTTTGAGAACTTCATTAATTATTCCAGACAGTACAGACGCCTTGGCAAATTCTTGTTCGGGTAACTTAGTTCCTGGCGCTGCTCCACCTACTTTCTCACAATTCTGCATATATACTTCGCATTGTTGCACCCATTGAAGAATAGTTCCTTAAAAATGCATCAAATTACGCAATTTATAGTCATTTTGTAAATGTTATGACCACTCACCTACTAGCAATTGCGTTGCTAATGTAATGAAAGATTCACAAGAAATTTTCAGTTGCTTGTCAATTTCTTTCCTTGAATCAACGAGGTATTCCTTAACCTTCGGCGTGCCTTCTAACAGGAATTCTAACAACGCGTTATTAGACCCGAATGTGAATATTTTGTTGCGGTGACTTATTAAATCCATTGCAGCCTTTTGAACTGTACTAAAATCTAGCATGGTTTCTTTCACAGTAAAGTCCACCTACAAGTAAAAACAATGATCGTATTACATAAATTATAAGATCTTCTTCATATTCACCTGAAACGGTGCTATTTGTTCTCTAATTATCAATAGATGCTTAATTTGGAACAGAAAACCATCTACTTTTGATTTGCGGGAAGATATGAGATTGGCAGCGTTCTGTACAGTTTCTACGCAAATTACCAGAGCTTCTTGAGCCAAACCTTGGAACGTGTTGCGATCCAAGCAGAAATACAAGCGTGAAAGACAAACCAGAGTACGTTTGACTGTCGGGTACCACATACCATGCAAATCAGCCGGGGAATTTCCTGCAACAAGAGAAACAAATAACAGTAACTATACAAAATTATTTTTTATAAGTTACCTGTGTACGATCGAAAGTGTGCCAACTGAGCAGCGTTAATATGAGCGACTTCTTGGGATTCCAAAGAGACCACTGAATTTCTGGAATCCGATCGTTCCCTTAACTCCATGGCGATATTTTCCATTTGTTCTAATTTTTCCGGGTAAGCTAAATCGCCTGGTGACGGTTTATAATTAAGTAGATCGTGTTGGAAGAAAACATTCGTTCTGAAAACTAATCGTTCTTCGACATCTTGCCACAGCTGCTGGATCACTTCTACGTATTTACTAAGTTGGTAGGTATCAATGATCTTTTCGTTCAATAATTCGTTATTCAGAATTCCGCATAATTCGCATAGCACTTCGATGTGATTGATGTTGATGAGGTTCGGTCTCAAAGTGTCGTACAGATATTGGCACAATTTTCCCAAGTAATCGTTCAGGTGATCGGAAGGTTTGGAAAAAAAGTAATTGTAGCATGTTGCTTCGTCTTGGCACACTTTTAAAATGAATAAACTGCAGGATCTGAATACAGTGCTGTGGTCTTTTTGATATTTTTCTTTCAACTCGTTCAGAGCTTTGCTGACGGCTACTGTTAGTAGAGGCAATCTTTGCGCGAAGAAGGATTTTTTGCAATCGTCTAATACGTTTTTGTATTGTTCGTTTTGATCTTCACGTTCCTCGAGATTGGTTAGAATGAATCTGACTTTCGAAGAAACGCTTTGGAATTTTCCGTAATAAAGAGAAAATGCCGAATCGACGAAAGTGTTTGGTTCGTTTGATGTTTGAGGTAGCGATTGGATTTTAATATCGGGCTCTATTACTTGCTTTGTAGTTTCTATCAAAATATTATTGATGTAATCGTATATTTTGTTAAGAGTAAGGTTCAGTAAGCTTTCATATTTCATTTTGTATATTCTAGATTCCTTGTAATGCAGATGAGTGTTTAAATAACTTATACTCTCATCTATTTTATCTAAATATCTGGTGCAATCTTCACTGTTGATTCTATTTCCTAGCTTCTCGATGCCTTCTTGGCATTTCTTAAAGTTTGTAAAATACTGAAGTTTGTTATTTAATGACTGCTTTTTTTCTTTAAGGATTCGCTGGTTGGTCATTAGTTGTTCGCTAAGGTCGTGTAAATAATTAGTTTTTTCTGTGACACTTTCATAATTCTGCTTCAGATTGTTTAAAGAGCTTAAAGCACTGTTAGATAGATCATACAAACTTTCGGAATCTGTTCGATACTCAGCCAACATTTCGTAGTAATTCTGGAAGTTGTCAAGATTTTCATGCTTTATTTCATCTTCTACTGCTATTGACCATTTTATAAAATCTTGCATTTTGTGTATAGTATCAGGAAGAACTTCTGCTTCGCCATCTGGCTGTTCATTTTCATTTATTTCTGATTTATTGTATAAATTTGATACTATATCACCTAATTCGTAAATAATGTTAAGTTGTTGCTCACTTAATGGGGCTAAAGGCTCGTTGACCGACTGCCACTTAGCGATATTTTCTTGTATTTTATGGTCTTTTTTGTTCTCCAAACTTTCTTGAGGACGACTCATATTGTAAATAATGTTTTTTTAAATAAATTAAAACTATTTAAATTATTGACGTTGGCATGATACGTAACCTCACTTAATCTTCACGTCTTTAAAACTTCTGTCAAAAGGACAGAAAGTGGAGTCTAGTTTTTAGTAGTCAAACAGCTACCTCACCTACCTACACATAAGGTATTCAAGGTCAGGCCACCAAACAGGTGTTTCCCGATCGTGGGAAAACCCTTTGATTCATTGTACAGATTTTCGACGAGATATTTAAACACTAAACAGTACTAAAATAGTAAAACTATGGCTAGCAGTTCTGAACATTACGGAACGAATAAAAGTGAAACTTCTTTAGCCCAAGAAAGTTCAATAAATGACTCATACTCGGTTCCTGAAGCTAGGTTTGAATGCCCTATTTGTTTAGCTTGGCTAAGGGACCCTGTACTAACATCTTGCGGTCATCGGTTCTGTAGATCTTGCATTTATTCTTGGCTCGAGTAAGTAACTGTTCAACTTCCACTTACCCGTATACCCATTTGCTTTCGTTACTTAGAAAAAACAGCGCTTGTCCTGTGGACAACATGAAATTGAACAAGGAAGACGTCTTCCCGGATAATTTCACTCGAAGAGAAATATCTCAGCAGCGCACTAAATGCCCAAACATTGTTCGGGGCTGCCTGGAGGAGCTGTCTCCTTTAGATGTCGAAGCCCACCTGTTAGTCTGCGAATTTAGAATACCCGAACTCCCGGACAATGAGAAATTGCGGTGTTCGTTCGTGGATGTGGGTTGTGATGATAAATTCGAAGATGAGCCGGAGTTACAGCGCCATTTGGAACAACACGTGCAGAAGCACTTAACGGTAAGTTTGCATATAGACGGGGTACATGTTTGATTCGAAATCAAGCAATCCGCTTTTGCAGCTTTTGTCCAAAGCTTACTCTACCATTAGTGTGAACAGAAATGCCTCTACTAGCGCCTCTGCTATAGCTCAGCAAGCTAATTTCTGGGACCCTCCGTCTAAGAATGATGGGCAAGTTGTGCTTAGGGATGATAATCTACAAGAGTTGTTAAAGTGAGTTTCAACTCGCTTTGTAATCATTAGGTCTTAATTTATTTGGATTTTTTTAGAGCTTTATACGAAAAAATTGTATATTTGGAGCAAAAAACCCGAGAACAAGACATCATCATTGCTAACATGTCTGAACAAATTTCATCGTACAATCTTTCAATGACAAAATTGCACCAGCGATATTGTAATGGGTCCTACTTGTGGTACTTTAATGATTTCAAAAACAAACTGAATGCTATGAGAGAAAATCCACATCTGATGTACTACAGCCCTGGGTTTTACACGTCCCCGAATGGTTATAAGTAAGATTGATTAATTGAGTCTCGAGTCTGTTGTATTTTTAGTAAATTTTTTACTTTTTAGATTATGTGTAAGGCTAAACTTGTCGCCAAAAGACAATCATTACATCGCAGTATTAATACATGTTATGAAAACGGAACATGATGATACTTTAGATTGGCCTTTTAGTGGAAAGCTAAGCGTAACTCTAATACATCCTGCGTAAGTTTATATAATTTAAGGTTTCATAATATTGATATTGAATGTTTATGCAGGCAGTCTTTTCGAAACATAAAGGAAACAATGATGACCCGTCCAGAATTAGACGCGTTCAAACGTCCAGTGCAAGACTTAAATCCAAAGGGATTCGGATACACAGAATTCGCTTCGTTGGAGGAAATACTCGATCAAGAATTTGTCCAAAAGAATCAATTGGTTATTAAAGTTCAAGCCCAAACCGTATAGAAGTGCGCTTCGACTCTTTGGTAAAATCGAAAGACTGTTTCAATCGAATCCATATCAAGCTATAATGTCATTTAAAATGATCTTTTACTCGTAAATTTTTAATATGAACTTTTACTGATCGCTCAATGAATGTTACGTAATTATGTAGTATATTATACTATTGTTACTTATTATCCCTATTACGTATGGAAATATTATTCCCCATGTTCTTATATACATTTCTAAAATTGTTAATTAATGTTTTAGAAGAAATATATTTAATAAACCTCTTGTTTAAGAGTCCATTATAAATTTCAAAAAGCCCTTCCAATAATGATACCAAAAGTATAATTTTAAGAAGAAATAAATATATAATTACGTTAATGAATCAATTACACTTATATAATTATTTAATAACAAATACTGAAACATAAATATTACTTATTCCTTCTTCCAAATACGTTTTACCGTGTTACTCATTCCAATTGATTTGTGGTTATAATACAAAAGTCCACCAAGAGTAGAAATCGAAATCAAATATAACAAGCCCATGGCTAGTTTTGGAACAACAGGACCAACGATTATGGGTCTAACGTAATCTACAACGCAGGCCTCCAAACCCCTGGAAATTAATAACAAATATAATAATGTGTAGAAGGATAATAGTGAAGCAAATTACCAATGAAAATGTATAACAATGGAGGCTGCCATAACGTCGTCAAGCAATGGATTAGAAGCGAGAAGAGCTACAGGTACTACACCGATGAGAGCGGCAGAGAGAAATCTTTCTGCAGTCCACAGCTTTCCGTGGTCTGTAGACATGGGTCTCTTTGATACATATTTTATTTCACGGCTCACTTTGACAGGGTCTTTTCTAAGAGTACTCACGATCTGAGTAAAGGGTCTCTTCGAATCCAACTGTAAAGTGGTTTTAAAGAACTTTTGAGTAGCTGGAAACGGTAGAGGTTATTAAAAATTACATAATATATTTTAGAATTAACGTACCTTGAATATTCAAAGGTTTTCTGAGAACTAAAGCGAGAGCCATAATTAAGTATTTAGTTTATCTTCTAGACTAGAGAATAGCGACAGCCTTAATTATTTTTTGAAAAATAACCCTAATTAAAATATTTGACAAATTTGTTATATTATTTATGACATTCACTGTCAAATGTCAAATTGTCATATGGGTAATGGTAATAAAAAAGAAGAATGATAATTGACAGTTACTCTATTTGAATGTCAAAAAACAAAATAAATAAACACACTTGCTCTAATCCTCTAAATAATAATAAATAAAATAAAACAATTTACAACGAATCAAGTGATATTAGAGTTTTATATTTTGCCTTGTCTTGCATGTGTAACATTTGCATAGCATAGACTCTATGATTTTTAACTATGCTATTCAAACATCACTGTCATTTTTAAAAGATTTTTCGAACTTTTAAAAGAATGGATAGAATATTACCAGAAAAGAATAAAATATGTCGCCTGTGCTTAAGTGAAACAGTAATATACTACTCGCTGCTCGAAGAGGATCGTGCTCTTTTCTTGGAAACGTTAACTTCGATAAAAGTATAGATTTATTAAAATCTATAATATACATTAATAAAATATAATTTTCTAGGTTGACGAACATGGTCCAATGCCTACAAATGCGTGTATTAAATGTTGCTTAAGTTTGAAGTACGCCTTCCAAATTCAACAGAATATACTCGAAGCAGATCGAAAACTTCGCTTACTAAACAACCAAGTAACCGAAAATGAAAACGTATTTGTCTTTTCGAAGAGCGTAGAAATTGCCAAAAAAGACTGTAATAATGACGAGGCGGAAATCGTCGAGAAGGATCTTTTCAAAACGTTATTCAACAAAGAGAATGAATTCGACGAAGAAATGCCCCTAACAAACTTTCACGAAATAAAGACTGAAAACTCGCTACTCGACAGTTTACCTGATGAGCCTGATGCTGTGCTAATAAAAACTGAGAACGAACATTCCATAGTTCAGAACGAAAATGTCATAGAATTACCAGTTATTTTAGAAGACTCCAACACAGACAACGCTACTCAAGCGTGTAAAATTTGCGGTCTCGATTTCCCCGAAAAAGAATTGATGGAGCATATCCAATTTCATTACTTTTCCACTGTCAAATGCGATGAATGCAATATGCCTTGTGAAAACATCCATTCTTATAGATCACATTTACTAGAGGAGCACAAGGACATACCCGCTAATAAGAATTGGGTTTGCAAGATTTGTCAAGTGCGGTTTCTGTACAAACCCTTGTATATTATCCATTTTAGAAGGTAAAAATAAATTATATTTCTACGTATGATTAATCATAATTATTTTTGTAGTGCACATCCGGTTAAAACGAAAACCCTCGAAGATCAAACGGGGGCCTTCCCATGTTCCTATTGTAAGAAGAAGTTTCACAACGAGAAACGACGTGATGCTCACATGTCGGTGCACAAAAAGAAGCAATGTGATATATGCGGCGTTTACATCACGCCTACAAACTTCCCTGCTCACAGAAAATCCCATTTAGAGGAGGAAGTAGAGTGCCCCATTTGCGGGCGAAAGTACAAGAACACCGTCTCGCTTAAGGGGCACATCCATTACACGCATTCGCAGAGAACATACATGTGCGAATTCTGCGAGAAAACCTTCAAAAAATCCTACAGCTTGCTGTTGCACATTAAAAGAGAGCACACCGGTAAAGTCGGGTACTTTAGTATTAATATAATCGGATAATTTTCAAATTTGTTAGGTGAAAAATCCCACATTTGCGATCTCTGCGGCAAAAGTTTCCTGACGTTCTACAATTTGAGCAAGCACAAAAAAATGACCCATCAGAAACTGCGCCCCTTTCAGTGCGAGTACTGCCAGAAGAAGTTTTCGTCTAAATTCGCCCTTCGAACGCACGAGCGCCAGCACACCCTGGACGCCCCATTTAAGTGCGACCTTTGCAATCAGAGCTTCCGCCAGAAAGTGTCTCTGAAGAGCCACAAGAAGTCTGTGCACAACGTCGAGGAGCCGCTGACTTGCGCTTGCGAGGTGTGTGGAAAGCGATTCAGCAGCAAATTTGCTGTTATGAGCCACATGAGGCTGCATTAGTTGTTTGTATTTTTTGTTGCATTTTGTATTGTTGTTGTTTGGTAATTTTTTAATAAACGTTTGTTAAAATGTTGCTTCTTTTATCTACAGTAAAAAATACAGGGTGTCTCGCATAAGAACCGACTCTAAAATGTAGAAGAGGTCAATGTGTACATTCCTGAGAAGTTATAGGCCTTCAAAGTGAAGTTACAAATAAAAAAAGTATGTAGTATTAAAACAACTAAATTTGGTATACGTTATAAGTGTATTAAGAGCATTAATCGATAGTTAGGAGAGACCAATTGATCTATTTTAAAGAGTTCATAAGAGATAATGCCCCCTTAAGATATTACAGAATTTATTGTAAATTAATTGTTTATTTACTTGTTCATTTCATAGGTAATTTCATTATAAAACTTTATTTCTTTTATTCTTTCGTCTTTTTGATGAAAAACGCTAAAAAATGTTGCATAAAATCGTCGATAATTCAAAAATTAACTGTGTTAAACAATTTTATTTTAGGCTCCTCTAGAAGCCCCTGCTCTGAGTCGGTTCCTATGCGGGACACCCTGTATACCACTATAAACTTCGAGTTGTAAACTTTCAAGTAAACTTCGTATACCTCTCCTAACTATTCGCTACCTCTGGTAAATCTTGTTTAAGAGCTTAATCTTTCTCTTGAAGGTATTGATCGTAATGTGTCGCGAACATTTCGCTGCAAGGTAACGATACTTTCAGTTTGCTGAAAAGCCAAAATAAACCGAACAGTTTCCTGTGCAACGAGTAAATTTCCTCAGGAGGCGGGCACAGTCGGTGATTAGTAATGGTTTCCGCCAATTTCTTAATTCTAGCCGTGACGTTTTGTTTCTCGAAATTGTACCTTCCTTCGTTCCGGAAAATCTCCCCTACGGTCATAAAGGCGTCGATGTGGGCTTCTTCCATTATCTAAAAAAAAATCGTTAATTTATCAACTAATTTTATTATTTTATTGTATGTAATCACCTTGCTTTCGTATCCTGTAAGAAAGCCCAATTCTCTCGATAAACTCAGCACATCTCGCCTGTTATTTTCGCGAGCGGCATTGAGAAGTTTAACATATTGCGCGATAAACTCCTTCGAGTAGGACCTACTCGAACCGAAATCTAACAGAAGCAGCCGGTTTTTATCGGGATCGTACAAAAAATTGGCCCAATTCGGATCCGTCTGCATTCGATTGAATTTAAACAATTCCAATAAGAACAATTCCATTATTCTTTCCCCAATGAATTCCCTGTGAAATGTATCCATCTCGAAACATTCATCGAGGGGTAATCCGTGCAGCAATTCCGCAGTAAACACTTGTTCCGTTGATAAATTATCTACAAAAATAAAATTTGTCTTGTAATTAAGAGGATACTATGTACCAGTAGTGAATTTACCAAACACATTAGGTACATAATACTTTTCGTACGGTGCTAATAATTCTCTAAATTTCTTCGTTTGATCGGCTTCTCTGTTGTAATCGACTTCCCAAGCTAATTCTCGCTTCGTTACCGCCATGAGGTTCTCCAGGAACATGCCTTTGGGGAAAACGTTCCATACTTTCAAAATCGTGGCTAAGTTTTCGATGTCGCTGTTAATTCCACGCGCCACTCCTGGATATTGGACTTTTACGGCTACTTCTGAGCCGTTTTTGAGCTTGCCGTAATGAACTTGGCCAATGGACGCGGCAGCGAAAGGGATGCTGTCGAATGTGTCGAAATTATCGCGCCAGTTGGGCCCCAGTTCCGTTTTCATTACCTGGAAACACATGTTTTCTGGATCACATATAGTGTATTTCTGGATGGAGTTGACGAGATGAGAAAATTGTTATTTTTAATCGTTTCATCCGGGGATACACTGTATTTATGGATAAAGTACAAGATGCCGAAAATCTAAATGAAATGTGTAAACTTTGATGCTTTAAAGTCTTTTCCCTTTACTTTCATGAAAAGTTATATCGATATCCAACGTTAACAATAAAAGTATTATCTGTAAACTATGATATGAAGATACATGAAACAGTCAATGTAACTCTCTTTAAGTACAAAGAAATGTCCCCTAAAGGATCTCTATAACAGAGATACTGAATACGAGCCTCTATATTTATTAACATTACCTCCTGCAGCTGCCAATCGGGCATAAAGTCGGCGGATTTCCGCACCCTTTCGAAAGCTTTGGTGATTTCGGGATCGACGATGGACTCGTCCTGGATGCTCAGGATTTGGCCGATTTTTAACGCAGCACCTCTGACTTTGCACAACGTATCGACGATCCTGTCCATATTAGCTTCGTTAAAAAATACGTTCGAATTATCCGTACCGGGATTCTTGGAAAACAAACTCCTTTTAGCGTATTCCGCGGCAGTTCCTAAGCCCAATCCTGCGGCTAGCGTGCCGAAGGAAACCATTCTAGCTACTCGAGATGAAGGAACTTTTCTTTGCTTGGATGTCTCGGATAACTGTAACACAATGAATCTCATCTATGAATGAATCTAATTTAAGAATGAATCTCATATTATACATGAAGTTTTTCATGGTATCTGTTAATTAAAACTTTTCGGAGTTCCTGCATGAAGAGTTACCATTATGAAAATTTAGAAGTATGGTATAATCAATGTTGTGAGTTTTTCTAAAATATTTTCAGCCATATGTGACTTCCGGTAATAACGAAAGTATATGTCAACTTCGTTCATTTAAATGGAAAGTGCCATTTCTAACTTAATTTTTGGATTCTGTGGTCCTTTTTAACTAGACTCTATATAACATGCCAAAAATTCACACGTATCTCTGCTAATAAAGTACCTAGAAGCTTGAGATTTTGATCGTTTTTGAAATAATTAAACTTGGATCATTCAAATTGGGTCAATTAAAATGATCTGTTAATTATGCTACTATAATTCTCTTCTTGAGTTATCTACCTGGCTATTCAATGCCTTTAATGAGCTCTAACTACGTACCTTTTGCTTAGATTTTGGATTCGGAATGGCATTAATTGTAGAAGAACTTTTACCAACTGGCTGTTCATTAGTTTTTGGTGGATATTTTTCAGCTTCTCTCTGGGATTTACTTAAAACATCTACTTCATATGGCTTAGTCGATAGACCTAAAATAATAAATTATAATTGTGTAATTATTATGTGATTATAAATATGTGATTATTACCTCTTCGTTGAAAGGTGTGTACACTTTTGATATCGAGTGAATTTTGAAACGTAATCTGCCCATAATTTTTTCTATTTATTTGAGTATAAGATCCTATTGACTTTACAAAATCTAGCTGTAGTTTAGGACTTTTTTCGATTGCAGTTTTAAATGATTTTATGAACTGAAGAGACACCTTGAATGCGTGCATAGTGTAAAAACGAATAGAATGAACTTGTCTAGTAGATTATTAGCAAATTTTAATTAGGAGAAAAAAACTCGTTTGTAAAATAATAATGATATTTTCTATTGGGCTCAAGGTAGACACATTTTTTATGAAATTGTGGAAAGTAGTATCTGTACAATGACAGGGGATAATTTTAATACATTAGGCATACAAGGGATACATGTATAACCAATCATTATGCAGAGAAATGAAGCTTTTATAACATATCTACCTACTGCTTATGTAAAAAGCGATCGGAACAAAAATATTACGTATCTACGTGGTAATAAATAATTTAAAAAAGCATACAATTATTCATGTAATAATTAATTTTAATGAACATAAATTTTAAAACAAAAATGTCAGTGATTTTAGTAAAATTAACGAGTAGAAAAAGTTAATTAACCCATTAGATGTTTTACATAATTCGAATCATTAAAACAAATTCATTACCCTTGGCTTTATAGTACACTGAAAAATTAGTTTGCACTTTGTTATATTTATGTTTAGTCTCGTTTTGCATTCTTAATTATTTATACATTCTGGAGTCTAACTATACATAGTGGTATTGAGAATAATATAAAATCTAGTACCTAATAGTAGAAGATCCCAAGTAAGGTCGATTTGCACCTATTTGATAACCAGGTGAAAATTATATTTTATTAAATGAAATATGTTTGTGAAAGTGTACCAATAGGGTTGCCGTAAAAATATGCTCCAGTCTACATATAATTACAGTGTGTCTATACGTAAGTTTGCGCATATAGCAATTTTTTTTATTATTAAGTTTTCGAAAAAAAGTTATTCTTCATACAAAATTCCGCATGGTCCAAAACCCAAAATGGAACCATCAGTTATCAATTTTTTTTGGAAAAACTGTCGAATGCATTTTCTATGATATCTCTGGTAATAATGCACCTACAAGTTTGAAATTTGGTATCGATAATGTCCAAACACAGCACTAAATAAAACTAAACTGAGTTTTCATGGTCTATTTACAGGACGTTAAAATTTACCTAACAAACGCAAAAGCTCGTTCAATACAGTTTAATGACGAATTTACGCGATATTTGCGACGTGTCCGTTCATAGTAATACCACAAATGCTTCTCTTCAATTTAAAGTAACCTTCTTCTCCCCATTTTGTACCCCATGAATTTTTGACAAACCAATAATCAGTTCCGTTAGTAGTACCATAACCTACAATAAGCACTCCATGGTTTAGTAAACTTATCTCGTTTGGGCACCTTTCGGCATCATCATATATTCCTCCTTTGTAGTGTCTAATTAGAGGATTTGCGTATATATCAGCATTTACTGGACCCCTTGTCGCTGAAATAACATAAAATTACAATAGTATAAGCCTACGATATTTAGACAGGTTTTAGTCGTAGAATGTATACCTATTTACCTAGATAATATTGAACGGCTGTATCAAGGCTTATAATTCTTTCATATTCTGCCATTTTAACAGCACTTTCAGTCGAAGCAGCTGTAGCATTGCAAGCATCATTTTTACCGGTAAAAGGATAGGCACTTGCTGTACGAAGTCCCTTTTCCTCCACATAAAGAAAAGATGCAAATGCTTCCCCTCCTCTACAGCCACCATTTCCATATTCTCTAGTACAATCTATTAACTCCTGAGCACTAAGTTGAACACTTTCGTTATGTTTGATGAACAATAGGGCGCTGAATGCATCTGCCTAGAATTTAATTTTCGTATATATTGGGGATATTTAGATGTAAAATTGATGGCTTACGCTGGAAAAAGCATATCCAGCGAGACAATCTCCTTGGTCCACTACAGGCGGGAGTACTCCTGCTGCCTTCCAATCGACAGAATCCGGCAGCGGTGCAGAAGTGGTAGAAGTTTGAAGGATATTTATCTTTCCGTTTTTAGTTTTGGGAATTTTGGAAAACATGGCGTTGAATTCTTCATCAGTGATATCGCTGAATTTGGTAATTCCCATGTAGTACGCCGTTTCACCTTTTTCGTATCTCGAATTGTGTTGTTGAATTAACAAGAGGTTTTCTTGAAAAATATCGAACCTGCGTTTTTCGTGTTCGTAGCTGGTGTATGTTTTGCCATAGTTTTCCTAATTAAATTACTATAGTTATCGAATATTTGCATTTTTGAAAATGTACAGTAGGTAACAGCCAGTTTTACTGGATTTAATAAGTTAATTTTATTATCTTACTTTGAAAGCTGCCCAGTGCTCCTCTACCGAAAGACCTTGAGTTGCTGCAATTACCGTTGCTAATAACAATATTAGTTTCATGGTTTTTTAGCTCGTAGTATCTTCACAAAAAATATTTTTTGACAATGAAAACCTATTTAACTGAATAATATATAGATGGTTATTATCAGCACTTAAATGATACTTATTATTATCAATACTTCATGACAGGAAATTTTAGTAAATCTTATTAAAAATCTTCTCTTTTGTTCTATATTTAATATTATTATATGTATATTCAATTACCTGCAGTTTTTGAATATTTTTCCACACACAAACGTTTTAATTTATCTATAGATAATACATTCACATTTATCAGGGGAAGATTCTCGACCTCAAAATATTACGATCTGGCCCAACATGCTTAAGTAAAATATTGAAAATAAAAAAGATGTTGAAAATCATGTTGAAATCAAAAAAATGATTTTTCGCAGCAGTCAAAGATTTTGGATGTATAGAAGTGAAAATTTGAAGACAGGTGTGTTTCAATGCATGAGAAATCATATTATGATAAAAACAATTTATCAGAGGACGTTTCAATTAATAAATGGCCAGTGGCATTTCAACTTCATATACATATAATATGCAAGACATTTTTAAATATGTATAGGTACATACAGATTAATCCAACTGATAGCCATTTGTACAAGATTTTCGATTATTCTCCATGCCTATTAAAATATTTATCAGTCAACATAAAATGAACGATAAAATTTTATGAGCTATTAAACATGAACGTTCAATTTTTCCATGAATAATTAGTAAATATAACAAATTATATTGGTAGAATTATCAACAAATAAAAAAAGCGGATGTAAAAGAAAATAAATTATTGACCACTTTAGTTCCAATGAAATCAATTACTCCCCTACAGCCTAAATTCATTAAGCAGTTACATAATAAATTTACCGTACCGACTATGCTTTTAAAGAATTCCGACTTAATGAATTTCTATTACTATAAACAAATTTAATTTAGTGCAATAATTTTTCGATAACGAATTCGTATGAAATGTCCTTTAAAAAAGGTGATTGGATTGTTCTAGAAATCATGTAAGTTAACGCAAAAATTGTCAAGTAAGAATAATATAATCAATGTTAATCGCATAGCTTTGTCACTTTTTCAAATTGATAGCTAAGAATTTACTATCGATAGATCAAAAAATGCATTTGTGGTTAGATCACCAGTTTTCTATCTAAGTAGAAAACTATAGGTATTTATAATAATTCATTTTTATAAAAATTAATTAGGATGAATTTAATATTCTTTAGGTGTTGGTTATTTAGATTTATTTAGTTAGTGAATAATTTAACAAATTTTAAGACCTAGCTTCTTACTGTAAATTTTATTGATTTTGATGTACTACTCTACTAATGGATACAATATATGTAAATTGCACTTAAAAAACATAATTTAATTGAAGATTAACTTCTATTGGTTTGTAAATTGCACTAATAAATTAAAATATATCCCTTTCAAAATAGATAAAATAGATAAAATACATATTATGAGCTTTTATGTTAGAACTAACTAGTGGTTTATACAAGTTCTCGGTAATTTGAACAGTACTTATCGGTAGCCAATTTACATTAAGTTATACCTACCTTATCACTTTTTATAATAATAGGTTTACGAAAACAATAAAAATGTACCCATATGTATGAAAAATATTCCTCCAGTCCACAGGTACTATCTAAGTACTGACGTTTAGTGTATTTAAGCTGCAACATTCAATAAAAGTAAGCTTAGACCATTTTTTGTTTCTAGTATTCTCGATACGATTATATACTTTATAAATTTGCGTTATTTTATCCGTTTTGTACGTAAAATAACTCGTGATTTTAATAATTTTTCCAGTCGACAAACGAGGTGTTGAGACGCAAGCGTAATTTCAATTTTGGGCGTCCATGGTCAACGCGTTGCGTTTCTAGGATATAGCCGGAATACCAACACAGGGTCACTCTCATTTCGTGTTAGAGCTCACTCGATATAGCCCAATATAGGTAGTTATTGCAGCACATAGCGCGTCGTGAGGTTGCCTTTCTTTAGCTTCGCTCAAAGGATGTTTCTGAATCAACAGGATGACCCAGTAATGAATTTTTAATAAGTACTTGCAATAATCGCTGCTAACTGCACCCAATGTATGCACTGCCACAATTTTTGTATATATCTACACAACATTTTTAAAGAAATCGTGAGGGAAATAGAGATTAATTAGATAAATTAAGGAAAAAGTTAGAAATTTTCTGAATATTTTCTCGGTTTTTAAATTAGTGTTATAATAGACGACAGATACAAAATTTCTTCGAAAGAAGTTTTAACTAATTCCTTTCGAACTTACGTTTCCAGAGTAGATAATTATTGCAATTTATGGCAAAAATAATTTTAAAACGATCAAAACACCATATATTTTTAGTACATAAAGGTCACAAGAAGCTAGAGCAACAATTTTGAACTTGAACCTATGTAAATAATTTACCATTGTATGGGTACCTATTTTGAAGTTGAACATCATTAATTTTAAAATTGTAACTTTGCAAGCTTCTGAAAATATATTACTACATTATTATTAACTTTTGAATGCTAGATTTTAAAGCATTACTCACATTTAACCCTTATGAGAATAAAATTCATATTTAATTGAAATTCATCTATTTTTAAAGGAAAAATCAATTTATTAAATTCGCAACGGACCCAGACCTAGTGAACTAAAAATATATGCCATTATTAAAAGACATGCAATAGAAAATATCGATTTTTAGGAGTGGTCATATAATGGTTGGTCGAGTTTTAAATGTCTTTGATGTAGTTGCGAGATATAAAATACACTTTCCTCGCCGGTCTTTTAGGAGATACTAATTTTCTCCAGCTTTTTGAATAATAGCCAATCAGCTTAAGATCCACTCTATGGATTTTGTATAGACAGATTAGAAATAAAGCACGAAAAATTTAGTGGTAGTTAATTGACAGAAATTATTATCAGTCGAATATTTAAAGGGAAATTGTTTGTATTTACTGGATATCACAACAGGCAAAATATTTTTTACATTCTTCTATACTCCGTTCGTTAACAGAAAATGGTAATAAAATATAATTTTATACTTATGCCAAAGACAGCACGATTGACTCAACGAAAAAAATCATAAAATTCCTAAACTTTAAAGTTTTCTACCATTGTGTAACAGTATTGTTTATTTTACTTTAGTACTGCCACTCTGTATACCGGGCGTATAACAATAGGTGACCCTTATCTGACCCCAGATGAAGTGACCTGAAAAGAGTGCACAGTCCTTAAATCTATAAATCAGTCCTTAAAAGGATAAAATAAAAATATACTTACCCATAAAAATTAAACATCCCTTATATCGATATTAGAATCGGTACCCTATACTACCGGTAATTGTAATATTACAGGCGGTTGCTAGTTATTTAATAAATTATTTATGCAATAGTTACAACTTTTTTTATTTATTCGTTGGCGCGCCTACTACTTCAAGAAAGTTTTTTTACTATTTCCTGATAGCGAACAGACTAGACTCGTAGTATTTTATAATTACATGAAATTACGAGGGATGTTTCCAAATTCTGGGAATTGTGGTCTAATTAAATTTAACATACAAGCCTTAATATATGCATGCAACTATTCAGTGAAACATTGTTCAATCTGATTGAGGTGTTTAACTGATATAGACGCGTTTTCATAGTTCTCTTTTTGTAACCATGCAAGACGCAGCAAAATCTCAAATAGCAATAATTTTCTTTTTGTGGAAAAAAGGTGTGAAAACATTCAGCTTCTGCAAGAAGCATTTAGTGAATCTATAGAATCCAAAGGTACTCTGTTTATCGATGGATCGATTATTGAAAATGAAAATAATGAAAACCCATCTATATCGGTCAAACAACTAAATTACACTGAACAATATTGCACTTAATAACTTTATCTATAAGTTTTGCGTACTTTAATTAGAACACAATTCCCAGAACTTTGAAAACAACACTCGAATTTTTTTATCGCTATTTCCTTATTTCTAGTATTTTTCTCACGTGTAATATGACTGTTTCAGTGGTTGTAAGAGAGATGATGAAGCCGAAGGTAATTCGTGCGGCGCCCAACAAACCACCCGTCCATACAAGAACGTTTTAGATGCTCAACGTTGCGGTTTGCCATGGACTACGATTTCTTCTGAACAGTTTGTTTATTCCTACCCCCAAAGCCAATTCCGCCTGTTAGCGGGGCTAGAAATAATCAAGGCAGAAGATGGAACTAGGTGAGTACCTAGGTATAATTATACATATGTATAAGTTCGCATTATGGTCTACGGGTGCAACAAAGACATATCTTCCATTAGTCTCAATTATACATATAGAGGGAAAAAAAGGAGTGATATTGTGGGATTGCAACTTTCTCACTTTTACCACTGTTATTTTAATAATCTTTCTTTGTGCAACTCATGGAATTGACCATATTGCAAACAATTTTGCACTTACCCATAGGTGGGGTAAAATGGTTTACAGATTTGCATAATTAGTGTGAAAAATACGTTTTTTAACAAATTTATTCAAAGTAATTAAAATTAGAATTTAGTTTACTCGCAATATCAATAAATTTGACTAAAATATTGATTACCCGTGACGTCAAACCTAATTTTACTGATTTGAACTCGTGTAAATAGTTTGATTTTTGCAAACTTAATTACTTAAATTCAGAAGGTAAATTAACGTACCTATTGCTAATTTCAACTTAAACTTAATTTTTATACTTACCTTATTCTTACATTTTTAACTTATGTATTTAAAATATTATCACGCCATCAACATAAATTAATGTGTCAAATTTGACGTTTTGAATCAACTTGTGAATTTGACATATCGTCATGACATCCACGGCAAACCAATAAAATTATATACTATTTATTATTTATTATAAAAATACAATTAATATATTTTTTATTTTCATAAGGGATAATTATAAGGATAAAGAATGAACATTTCAAATTTTCGGTTCGGTTATTCCTTTCATTCAAAGAAAGAAAATTAAGTGACATGCGTTTCTCTAGGAATCCTTCAGTCAACGTTGCCACATTATAAGTAATTCATTTGGAAAACGGAAAATTAACTACTCAATTCCTGGACGTTTCGAGCAATTTCCATCAACAACTTCTTTGAAATATTGATAATAATGTACCCAATAACACTATATTGCGACGATTTGTGTAGAATTATTCAATTATTCTCTAAAAACCCTTACGCCTACGCTTCAATGTAGGGGTTGATTATAACATTTGGCAACGCCGTAAGCAACTCACTACTGCCCTTAGCGATAGCGATTGCTCTTCTCTACGTCATCAATTTCAATATAACCTAACCATAAATACGATCAGTTTGTTAATGCAGTGATTTCCAGTGCCAGCAGGATTTTGAGTAAAGAATCACTGCTTTCTTTAGGTAATTATCTACATAAAGTTAAGTTTTTTGTTAATCCTGAAAAGTTCTATTCATAAAGAGCGTTATAAAAAGAGCATTAGGGTTTATTAATGTTCGGTCCTTGTAAGAAAATGTCTATAGAATTGTTTATAGGATAGGCAAAAGTAATTGAAAGTGTAATTCAGCGTTTTACATGCTTAAAATAATCATCAATTCGTTGTGTATTAATTGCATAACGAGCTGTAATTAGAGCTAATAGAGAATTAATAATTAATGTTGGTTTTGCGAATTTATAAAGGTTCGAAAAAAACTCTGAAAATACTGAAAAAATATCACTGTTGCTAAGAGATGATTATTTATTTGCTACAGACTTTAGTGCAGCAATTAAGGAATATTCTGAAGGACAGATATCAATTAGTCCCAATTTATTTGCGAGGAATTCCAGCATACCAATGTAGTAAATAAATTTATATGTACATATTTGTTTTTCGTTGAAACAAAAGTAAACAACTGATTTTTTTCTCGCATATGACGCCAGTCAATCGTCTCTTCATTAACTAAATTATCCAATTATTAAAAAAAATCTTACGATAAATTAGGGTTACTTTATTTCATTAAATGTGTATGTACCCACGTATGTGCGAATCAAAAAACTGTTGGTTCAAACATTGCGAAATTGAGGCATTGTTAACATAGTATGTAAAAAGAAATTCGGGAAATTCTATCGATCTGTACGTGACGAGACGAATATCCTTGAATTTAACGAGTGTTGTCGGGGGCTTTATATTACACGGTTAATCCGCAAATCAAATAACATCTTCCCTATCACCAAGGGCTGTGTTCTAAAAATTTTCATTAATTAAAACTCTATTTCGTATGGTAAATAGAGCGCTTTTGCATTGAACTTCCTACATCAATGTTCGCATATGTTAATTTAATCGGTACATGCCCGATTTTAATTCATTATAATATCTCATTAAAGTATTCAACAGCAACGTTCAATTACCTGCGCCTTTGATATTTATTTCTATACCTATAAGTTTTACAGTTATAAGTGAATTAAATTGTTGACGATTTTTGTAAAAAAGGTAGACTATTTTAAAAACTTGGATGGAATCTGGAAGGCTCCTGGAAAATTGAATAAATCATTTGTGATTCACACCCAAACAATTATTTCCTATTTTTCTATAAGTTCAATTAGTTGCCTATATGGAAGTGATTTCACTGTAAAATTCACGCCCTAGATAGGGTGTTATACTTTAACAACTTTTGCATTATAGTAAATAGAATTATTAAATTTCAAACATCGATATTTAAATAGTACCTACCTATATAAATATTTGTTAAACAAATATGTACATATTTCTGAAAAATTTTACTCATTCCAATTTTGGATAGCGTTTGGTTGAATTGAAATTTCTGCATGTTTTGGAAATATTTATATGACGTAAAAGAGTGAAACTTAATGATTCATCCATGCATATTTTAGATAAATTCTTAATAGAGATAATAACAATCTTACATTAGTCACATATTTCTATATAATATTCAATATTATTTTGTTTATTATTTTCTTAATTCCAACGTTTCTGCGTTATTGCTATCAAGAAAAAAATGCTTAATTTATTATATTTTATATAATTGCATTTTGAAATTTTACATCAAATTGTTTCTGCAAATTGCCATCCTGTGGCATACAGTAACTTTATAATATAGGAATTTCTAAACAAATATTCACATATCATAAATTTAGCTGAATTTTATTGAGTTTAATCTTAGTTGGTTTCTTAATTTGTTTATATGACAAGAACTTTTCAGGATGTAATTAAATCACGTTGAATATTTTTAAAATATCATTTTATTGAAGTAGAAAAGTCGTTTATTCAACATTTCTGCGATTAGAGACATGAAGCTGCAACTGATCGTAGTGGAAACAGGAGGAAAGTGGAGAAGAGCTTTGCTAAGGTAAGATACAAAATAAGAGAATCGACGGTAAATAATTTATTCGGTACCTACTCTAGGTAGGTAGGTACAGATACGAGTAAGTGCAAATTAGTTTGCATTATGGTCAATTCTATAATGAGTTGAACAAAGATATTATTAAAATAACAGTGGTTAGAGTGAGGAAGTTGCAATATCACTCTTTCTTTTTTCTTTCTACAGGACAAATGGAAGGTGTCTTTGTGGCACCCATAGACCATATGGTTGAATACAAATTGGCAGTTATATGTACATATGTAGTTCTTTAAACATTAATTTGGTAGTATCTAAGCATACAATTTTATACCCAGATACATAGGAAGAAAAAACCTCAAAAATACATTCCCAGTATTTCTTGCTCTTCCGGTGATAATTTGCTTACCTAATAATCCATTTTGAACATATTAAAAAATAATTCAGAATTTCCAGGTTTTAATACCATGTGTGGTTTACATTAAAACTACATAATAATACGGTTATCGAGATAACATTTACAGCCACTTCCTTTTATCATACAAGCAAAACGAGTCGCAAACCTTTAGAAAGAGATAAAAATTATTATTAAAAGGTTTATTCATTCGATGTATCCTACGATCAATATGTGTTTATGTGATAACAGATTAGCAATTTCCATTTTAAATCTACCAGGTGTCCTCAAAATTGAAGGAAAATTAAGAATAAATGCACTGAAAATGGTACTATGTTGTAGTTCCCAGGAAACAACCCGTTTGAAGCTTCTATTGTCCATATTTTTGGTTATACGGTTAAATTGTTTATTGTTAAAAAGTATGTATGAAAATTGATGTACAAATGGGTTAATCACCAACATTCACGAATTTTGACGTAGCATTTGCCTTATTATTATGCATTTAAAGTAAAAGTTTCGATAAACTACCGCTGATTTGAAAAAATAAACGTTTCGGAAACTTTTACCCGCATGTAAATATATGTACTCTATATGCCTACTTTTTTCTATTGATGTAGAAATACATTGACAATACATTGAAATACATCGATATTAAAATACATTATCAAAAATGATGGGTTCCACCGAATATTATTAAATTTATCCAAGGAAGCATTTGGGAAGAGCTACCTACATACCTACATTAATTTATTATAACCGTAGGTAAAGTATAGGTTCAATGGTAAACCTAAAACCTTGACACTAGATTAATCGTTATTCACTCTATTTAAAACGAATGTGTGTACCAGTAAATAGGAGAGTGTTTATAGGTCGAGTTTTAGGGTTAACTAATGGCCTCAAAAAATTAATGGTTTTTTAATATTTCTATCATCATATTGTACATAGTATAGATAATTTTGACGATGACTTTGCCTCATTGAAATACATAAGTAGGTATTATTAATTACATATTTAGTGTTTAGTGTACAGTTCAAATAGACAGAATAAGTAGCTCGTATGACCTGAAATTATAATTGAAAATTACATATGTAAATAACAAAATATTTGTATGTAATTAGAATATTTTGCGATGACTATATGGGTGTATTTTTGACATTTTCATTAGGTACTTGAAACACAATTTTAAAATTGCCAAATAATGTTGTCGTTAATTTTCCCGAATTGAAAAATAATTCATTACCTACCTAGTTGACAAATAATAAGCAGCTCATACGACTTTTTAATTTTTAGATACTTTAAATACCTTGAAAAAATAAAATTACCAATATATTTCTAGTATTTTGGGGTGAATAGATATATTTATCACATTTTCATCACTTAAAACTTGATTGTTATTCTATTCTAAAAATCATAATTCGACTCTTTCAAACAACAACACTAACAACAGGCATCTGATACCTGTTGGTACATAAATCAAACTATTTCTGGATAATGATTAATT